GAGGCATGGATGCACAAAGTCACGTATACATACATGATTTTGGCATTTTCTGGGTAGGGGGCAACTCACACCCTACCCGTGCTGCATATTCGTGGCCTCAGCTGTCAATCACCGGGTCCCTGCCGGTGGATTACTCGCCGCTCATCCAGTGATTGCCGAGCATCTTCCCAACCCTTCCTTTCGAGGGGTGAGAGAGCTTGTTTGTAAACACAACAGTTCTCTCCCCTGTCAGCTCCTGCACACTACACTTTGCATGGCTGTGACACAGCACAGCCATGCAAAGCAGTGTGCTTACAGTGAAGCACAGGACACCACTGCCCCTAGTAAAACAGCACACTGGTTAACCCTTTGATTGCCCCACTTGTTAACCCCTTCCTGCCTAGTGCCATTAGTACAGTGTTAGTGCTTTTCACTATTATTATGTATACAGGATTAATATGGCGCCAACAGTTTTGCGCAGGGCTTTACAGTAAAAGGGAGACAATACAGCAACAATACAGTTCCAATATAGAAGGAATATGAGGGCCTTGCTTATGAAAGCTTACAATCTAAAGATTCATTAGCACTGATCACTGTATTGGTGTCACTGGGGATGTCAGTGACACCGAGTCAGTTTTCCCCCCAGTGTCAAAATGCCCGCAACAATCCTGCTATAATTCGATGATCGCCCCCCATTACTAGTAAATAAAAAAAAACTGTAAATCCAGTATCTATACCGCCATTTGTAAACGCTCTAACTTTTACGTAAACCAATTAATTTACACATTTGGGATTTTTTTTTTTGCAAATAACATGTCGCAGAATTACATTATTTGTCCTAAATTTATGCCGAAATTAGATTTTTTAAATTTTTTTTTACTGGACACGTTTAATAGCAAAAAGTCAAAAATATTGTTTTTTTTCTCAAAAATGTCGATATTTTTTGTTTGTTTATAGCGCAAAAAATAAAAACTGCAGAGGCGATCAAATACCACGGAAAGAAAGCTCTATGCGTGGGGGTGGGGGGGAAGAAAGGATGTAAATTTCATTTTGGGTGCAGCGTTGCATGACCGTGACCGTGCAATTGTCAGTTAAAGTAACGCAGTGCAGTATCGCAAAAAAATGGCCTGGTCAGGAAGGATGGGGGGGGATCCTCTGGGCGGGCGAGCGGTGTTAAGACAGATTATTAAAGAAAAAAAGGATCACTAAATTCATTTGGGTGCAGCATTGCATATGACCGCGCAATTGTCAGTTAAAGTAACGCAGGTGTCGTAATGCAAAACATGGCCTGGTCAGGAAGGATGGGGGGGAATCATCTGGAGGGCGAGGGATTAAGCAGATTATTAAAAAAAAAAATAAGGATGTAAATTTCATTTGGGTGCAGCGTTGCAGACCACGCAATTGTCAGTTAAAGTAACGCAGTGTCATAATGCAAAACATGGCCTGGTCAGGAAGGGGGGGGGGGGGATCCTCTGGAGGGCGAAGGGGTTAAGCAGATTATTAAAAAAAGGATGTAAATTTCATTTTGGTGCAGCGTTGCATGACCAACGCAATTGTCAGTTAAAGTAACGCAGTGCCGTATTGCAAAAAATGGCCTGGTCAGGAAGGGGGGGGGGGATCCTCTGGAGGGCGAGGGGTTAAGCAGATTATTAAAAAAAAAAAAGGATGTATATTTCATTTGGGTTGCAGCGTTGCATGACCACGCAATTGTCAGTTAAAGTAACGCAGCGCCGTATTGCAAAAAATGGCCTGGTCAGGAAGATGGGGGTGATCCTCTGGAGGGCAAGCGGTTAAGCAAATTATTTTAAAAAAAAAAGGATGTAAATCTCATTTGGGTGCAGCGTTGCATGACCACGCAATTGTCAGTTAAAGTAACGCAGTGCCGTATTGCAAAAAATGGCCTGGTCAGGAAGGATGGGGGGGATCCTCTGGAGGGCGAGGGGTTAAGCAGGATTATTAAAAAAAAAAGGATGTATATTTCATTTGGGTGCAGCGTTGCATGACCACGCAATTGTCAGTTAAAGTAACGCAGCGCCGTATTGCAAAAAAATGGCCTGGTCAGGAAGGGATGGGGGTGATCCTCTGGAGGGCAAGCGGTTTTTAAGCAAATTATTTTAAAAAAAAAGGATGTACAGTTGTGACCAAAATTATTCAACCCCGTCCTGAAAATTGACGTAGTGTTTTGGCCAGTTTGACATTGCTTTTGATCATTCAGTCATCTTGCTTACATTTACATTAAGAGGCGACTTGTAGGTCAGACAAATAATAACATAACAGTTATAATGAAATAACCACAAATGTCTTTTCTGTGCTCACAGCATTATCAGTTTTATTCAACCCCCAAGTGACATTCAATCTTAGTACTTAGTACAGCATCCTTTTACAGTTATAACAGCTTTTAAACGTGAAGCATAGCTTGACACAAGTGTCTTGCAGCGATCTACGGGTATCTTCGCCCATTCTTCATGGGCAAAGGCCTCCACAGTTCAGTCACATTCTTAGGCTTGCGCACTGCAAACTGCTTTCTTTAAGTCCCCAACCAGAGGGTTCTCTATCGGATTTAAGTCTGGTGACTGCGATGGCCACTCCAAATGTTTCCAGCCTTTCCTCTGCAACCATGCTGCTTAGTGGACTTGGAGGTATGCTTGGGATCATTGTCCTGTTTGAGAAAGGTCCAACGTCTCCCAAGCCTCAGGTGTGTGACGGACTGCATCACGTTTCCATCCAATATCTCTGGTACTGAAGAGAATTCATGGTACCTTGCACACGCTGAAGCTTCCCTGTACCTGCAGAAGCAAAACAGCCCCAAAGCATGATTGACCCTCCACCATGCTTCACAGTAGGCAAGGTGTTCTTTTCATCATAGGCCTTGTTCTTCCCTCCTCCAAACATAGCGTTGATCCATGGGCCCAAACAGTTCTAATTTTGTTTCATCAGTCCACAGAACACTATCCCACAACTTTTGTGGTTTGTCCACATGGCTTTTGGCATACTGCAGTCGACTCTTCTTATTCTTTGGAGACAGCAAGGGGGTACGCCTGGGAGTTCTGGCACGGAGGCCTTCATTACGCAGTGTGCGTCTTATTGTCTGGGCTGAAACTTTCTGTACCCACATCTGACAAATCTTTTCTCAGTTCCTCAGCAGTCACACGGGGACTTCTCTCCACTCTACGCTTCAGGTAGCGCACAGCAGTCGAAGTCAGCATCTTTCTTTCTGCCACGACCAGGTAGCGTTTCAACAGTGCCCTTTGCCTTGAATTTGCGAATGATGCTTCCTAAGGTGTCTCTTGGTATGTTTAACATCTTTGCAATCTTCTTATAGCCATTGCCCTTCCTGTGAAGAGAAATCACCTCTTCTCTTGTCTTCCTGGACCATTCTCTTGCCTTCACCATGTTTGTAACCACACCAGTAAATGTCTAGAAGGAGCTGAGTATCACAGTCATTTTAAAGCTGCCTAATTGGTGCTTATTATGCTTGATTGCTGCTCGGTGACATCCACAGGTGTTTTCAATACCTGATGGAAAGCACCTGTATGAACCTCTGTTCTTCAGAGTGGTAGTCTTTAAGGGGTTGAATAATTGTGGCAATGAAGAAACCACATAAGAACCATTTACTACTGTATTACATAAACAATTGATGTCATTTTAGTTGCATTTGGGTAGTTACAACGTCCTTGTAGGATTTGATTCTGAATACAATTCCAAATGTACACTATAGTCCCTAAACCCCTTTACAGCATTGGGGGTTGAATAATTTTGGTCACAACTGTAAATCTCATTTGGGTGCAGCGTTGCATGACCACGCAATTGTCAGTTAAAGTAACGCAGCGCCGTATTGCAAAAAATGGCCTGGTCAGGAAGGGATGGGGGTGATCCTCTGGAGAGGGCGAGGGGTTAAGCAAATTATTTAAAAAAAAAAGGATGTAAATCTCATTTGGGTGCAGCGTTGCATGACCACGCAATTGTCAGTTAAAGTAACGCAGTGCCGTATTGCAAAAAATGGCCTGGTCAGGGAAGGGGGGGGGGGGGGGGGGGGGGGGATCCTCTGGAGGGCGAGGGGTTAAGCAGATTATTAAAAGTAGAAAGCCACTTCACATTGGCGAACAAATAACCTCCATAGCCTGCCCAGCCCTGAACTGTCCAATGAATATTCAAGTACAGGATAAAATGCAGGAAATGTAATGGAATTCTTTGTATCTTCGGTATTTGTCATGAAGAGGGCAATTATATGCTAATAAAATATTTTAACAAGCCCGGCATATGGCCACATAAATACTGCTGTTAATTACAACTATATTTCTTTTTTTTGTAATAACAGAGACATAACTGTGCAACTGAACGCGACCGTCCCCCAATACATAATTCTATGATTGCGCTGTCATTGCGAAGATTTTTCCAATATTACGCAGGGAACAAAGTACGGGAAGAATGATGCCAATTAAAATTCAAGGTCATTGTTTTGGTGGTGGAGATAAGTGCACAGGATCTGATCGCCGATTTCACATCAATTACACTGGTAATTTAGGGCTCGCTAAATCAGCAAAGGCAATTAGCCACGTTTAATCTGCGAAGGAAAGAAAACACATATTGCTATTCGGTATTATTTCATTGGAGCCCAACGAACAGTCTAAGGCTACTTTCACACCGATCCACAGCATTTACTGCGTTTTTTATAGGACACAGGACTCAAAAACAGCACCAAAAATACAGCGCAGGTGCGTTGTTTTTTTTTGCCCGCGTTTTAGATTTATTGCAATTGGGAGATGCGCTTTTTGGTGCGTTTTTTTACAGCACCAAAGATGTAGCAAGCGGGATTTTAAAAAGCCGCAGCGGATCAGTGTGAAAACCATTCCATAGGAATTACATGGTCACACGTTTTTCTTCCACTTTTTTTAATGCAAAAGAGGAAGAAAAACGGATCAGTGTGAAAGCAGCTTTAAAGTGGTACTAAACCCCGGACCCTGTATTTACGATATCTGGTCTCCGGACCCTGCATTCGCTATATCTGGTCTCCCCGGAACCCTGCATTCACTATATCTGGTCTCCCCGGACCCTGCATTCACTATATCCGCTCTCCCCGGACCCTGCATTCACTATATCCGCTCTCCCCGGACCCTGCATTCACTATATCCGCTCTCCCCGGGACCCTGCATTCACTATATCTGGATCTCCCCGGACCCTGCATTTACTTTATCTGATCTCCCCGGACCCTGCATTCACTGTATCTGGTCTCCCTGGACCCTGCATTCACTATATCTGGTCTCCCCGGACCCTGCATTCACTGTATCTGGTCTCCCTGGACCCTGCATTCACTATATCTGGTCTCCCCGGACCCTGCATTCACTATATCCGCTCTCCCGGACCCTGCATTCACTATATCCGCTCTCCCCGGACCCTGCATTCACTATATCCGCTCTCCTATCTGGTCTCCACGGACCCTGCATTCACTATATCCGGTCTCCCGGACCCTGCATTCACTATATCCGGTCTCCCGGACCCTGCATTCACTATATCCGGTCTCCCGGACCCTGCATTCACTATATCCGGTCTCCCCGGACCCTGCATTCACTATATCCGGTCTCCCCGGACCCTGCATTCACTATATCCAGTCTCCCGGACCCTGCATTCACTATATCCGGTCTCCCTGGACCCTGCATTCACTATCTCTGGTCTCCCTGGACCCCGCATTCACTATATCTGGTCTCTGCATTCACTATATCTGGTCTCCCCGGACCCTGCATTCACTATATCTGGTCTCTGCATTCACTATATCTGGTCTCCCTGGATCCTGCATTCACTATATCCGCTCTCCCCAGACCCTGCATTCACTATATCTGGTCTCCCCGGCCCCTGCATTCACTATATCTGGTCTCCCCGGCCCCTGCATTCACTATATCCGCTCTCCCCGGACCCTGCATTCACTATATCCGGTCTCCCCGGACCCTGCATTCACTATATCCGCTCTCCCCGGACCCTGCATTCACTATATCCGGTCTCTCCCCGGACCCTGCATTCACTATATCCGGTCTCCCACAGTACACACAACATGGAAATACAATTATTTTAGTAAATTTAAACTGCTAAATACCTTTTCTCATCAGCAGTTAGAGCAGTCTTGTGATTTCTACCAGTGTCCATCAGAGAACTAGCTAAAGGATCCCATCATGAGCATAATGCGGCACGTTCAACCATTTTTTCCTTCACGTGAAACCTGGAACTGACTGCGCTGGTGTACCGGGTCCATTTGAATACATGGAAAATGCTTTGCATGCATTTCTGATGATGAAAAAAGGCTCTGGACAGCATCTGGACATGGAGCAATTAAAAAACGCTTCTAAACGCAAACGCTTATAAACTCAGTTAACAGTGTTTACAAGCATTTACAAGCGTTTGGCATTTGAAACACCGGTAAAATCTACTCCTGAACGCAAGTGTAGTGCGTTCAAAAAAAACGACTGTAAACTCAACTGCCTGTAAACGACAATGTGTACATGGACCAGGGGCGGACTGACCATTTGGAAACTTGGGCACTGCCTGAGGGCTCGGGGTCAGTAGGGGGCCCCATGAGATGCCCCTGGAAGCTTTTTTTGAGTTTGGGCAAGGACACAGGGGCCCCATGATCCCCTATTGCCCGGGGGGCCCCAATGAGTTGTCAGTCCGCCCCTGACATGGACACATAGGAAAACATTAGGGAGAGTTCAGGGGCTGCTGAAAACAACGCTGAACAGCTCCTGAACGTCAGTTTAACAGCTGCAGTGTACATGAGCCCCAACACACGCATGCATGGGTAAAGCCATTGTTTTGTATTGGCAGCTGTCCATGGTACCATAGGCAGTCATAGTCCTTAGCATGCCAGGAAACCTTCTATGTTCATTGATGAATTATATTACTGCTGAATAGTTACATCGATCACGGCCATGTAGGTGTATTATAATGCTGGACTCCTGGAACATTTAATGACAATTACAAATCAGGTCACTGCATACATGTAGTGTATGCAGAACTGTGTAAACCTCAGGACTGGATGGAAATACTTCCCCCCCCCACCCCCCTGGTTGCCACAGACTAAGCAAGTAAAGACACAGAGCCAATGTGATAATAACAATGTTATGGAAGATCGCTGAGACAAGGAATATCACAGCAGCTCTGGATCTGAACAGACTGTTTAACCACTTGAGCTCCTGAGGATTTACCCCCCTTAATGACCACGCCTCTTTTTGCTACTCGGCACTGCACTAATTCAACTGATAATTGCGCGGTCATGCAATGCTGCACCCAAACAAAATTTACGTCCTTTTTTTCACACAAATAGAGCTTTCTTTCGGTGGTATTTGATCACCTATGCGCTTTTTTTTTTTCACGTTATAAACAAAAAAAGGCCAACAATTTTGAAGAAAAACAATATTTTTTACTTTAAGCTATAAAAAAATATATAGTAAACTCAAAGTTGGTTATAAATTTAGGCCAAAATGTATTCTGCTACATGTTTTTGGTGAAAAAAATCCCAATAAGTGTATATTGATTGCTTTGTGTGATAGTTATAGCGTCTACAAACTATGGTATAAATACTGCAATTTACGCCATTTTTCTGCTATACAGCGCTGCGCTAGTTTAACGGACAATTGCGCGGTCATGCAATACGGTACATAAATGAAATTTACATCCTTTTTTTCCCCACAAATTGAGCTTTCTTTCGGTGGTATTTGATCGCCTGTGCGGTTTTTATTTTTTGCACTATAAAAAAAAAAGGCTGACAATTTTGAGGAAAAAAAAACAATATTTTGGACTGTTTGCTATAAAACATGTCCAGTAAAAAAATGCAAAAATCAAATTTAGTCATAAATTTCTGCCAAAATGTATTCTGCAACATGTCTTTGCTAAAAAAAAAAAAAACCAATATGTGTAAATTAATTGGTTTACGTGAAAGTTATAGCGTTTACAAATGGCGGGAAAGATACTGGAATTTTTAATTTTTATTTATACTAATAATGGCGCCGATCGGCGACATATGACAGCGACCAGCGACTTATGGCGAGACTACGGCGGACATTTTGACACTGGGGGGGGAACTGACTTAGGGTCACTGGCATCCCCAGTGACACCAATACAGTGATCAGTGAAAGAAAATCACTGAAACTGTACTAATGTCACTGGGGAGGAAGGGGTTAACATTTTTAGAATTTGCTGTGTAAGGGGAGTGTTTTACTAGGGGGCGGGGGTGTGTACTGGACGGGGGGAGGGAGGGGGGAGCTGATCTAGGGAGAGAAACTCTTCTCTCCCTCTGCAGCTTGTCGGCGAACTGTCACAGAGCAGGGCTGTGTGTAAACAATGCAGCTCTGCTCTGTGTCAGTGATCACCGCTCATCGCGGGAAAACGGCTGGTAAAAACCGGCCGTGACCAGGCGGCGGAGACCCGCTGCTGACACCCGCGGGACAGGTAGGGCAAGGCGCGCGCCCCCTACCTGTTTTGAAGGCAGCCATTTTAAAACGTGCTTTTGCCTACGAGCGCCGCCCTGCCACCGTTTATATACGGTGGCTTGGCGGCAAGTGGTTAAACCTCTTAGATTGTAAGCTCCCAGGATCAGGGCCCTCCTAACCCTCTTGTATTGAACTGTATTGTTGCTGTATTGTCTCCCTTTATATTGTAAAGTGCTGAGCAAACTGTTGGTGCTCTATAAATTCTGTATAATAATAATAATTATAATAAAAAAACTATTAAGCTATGCAGAACAATTACTAGAACTAAGAGAAGTCAGTCTGTCTCAGGTGACCAGGCTTTCCGGTGCTAGTCTTCAGATCTTCTCTAACAGTCTTTAGTTGTTCTTGGCCTGATGGGTGATCGTCTTTCTTCTAGCCATCCACTGAAACCATCCTAGTGGTCACCTGAAAGATTTCCTCAGCGACCCTCAGCACTAGGCCCACAGCTACACCAAGTGCTATTAGACTGGTCTCTAGTGCCCACATCTTTGTTGTTTATTTTCTCTTGCATTTACCACCACTTTGTTTAAGAAGTATCTTGTCATCCCCAAGGACTCCTTCAGAATTCCAATGAGATCCAGGAAATATTCCTTTGCATTGTGTTAATACACTCACCGGCCACTGTATTAGGTACACCCGTTCTATTGCTTGGTAACACAAATTGCTAATCAGCCAATCACGTGTCAGAAAATCAATGCATTTAGGCATCTAGGTGTGGTGAAGATGACTTGCTGAAGTTCACACACCGAGCATCAGAATGGGGAAGAAAAGAGATTTTAGTAACTTTGAACGTGGCATGTTTTGTTGGTGCCAGACGGGCTGGTCTGAGTATTTCAAAAACTGCTGATCTACTGGGATTTTCACGCACAACCATCTCTAGGGGTTACAGAGAATGGTCTGAAAAAGAGAAAATATCCAGTGAATGGCAGTTGTGTGGAGGAAAATACCTTGTTGGTGTCAGAGGTCAGAGGAGAATGGGCAGACTGGTTCACGATGATAGAAAGGCAACAGTAACTCATGTCAATATGGACCAAAATCTCTGAGGAATGTTTCCACCACCTTGTTGGATCTATGCCATGAAGAATGAAGGCAGTTCTGAAGGCAAAAGGAGGTCCAACCTGATACTAGCAAAGTGGACCTAATAAAGTGGCCGGTGAGTGGATATAACTTTATCCTTGCTTCCTAGTTCACCGTGTTTTAGTCTTGGACTTAATCATCCAGTGCTTATCTGTTCCTGTCCAAAATTTATGACGCTGGCCAGCTTGTGGAATGTGCGCACATAAAGAAACTCACACTGACACCTTTGGTCTGTGAAAACTTCTCTCTAATTTATTGAAATGAAACCGTGAGCTTATATATGAAAAATGATGCGAACATCACGTGATAACAGCATAAGCATTATATTAGTCTTTGATTGTCACTTTACACGAAAACAATCTCCGTCATGGTATAGGTGTGATCTTCTTCAGTCTTATCTTAAAAAGAGAAAAACATTCTTTTGTCTTCCAAATCACACGATGGGAGGGGGTCTGTTCCTGTGAGCAAATATTTCTTAAGCAAGGATTTCTTAAAGTACCACAAAGCCCAGCAGGCAGAAAATATTCACACAACATATGTATTAAAGTATAAAAGTAAATATTTATAAAACTTATAGAAATAGCGTATATATATATATTCAATAGGAAACGAAATAGGCATTTTACCAAATCCATCACAGTCCCCCCTTAAAATGACTATTTTATTCTGTCCCTATAAAGCCTAGCTCATCTGTCCTTATGTACCTTGGAACTCTTTTGTGCTGTACGTTAGACAAGTGATGACTATTTCATCACCTCCCTTGCCACAGACTTTGTACATAAGGAAGTCAGATGCTATCCCTACAAAATTGTGAGATTACTATTGGCGGGGAGGGACCGTAATGGGTGTAAGGTTTTTCTTCATCCATCATATGGGGATCCTCTTGGTCCTGGTTCAGGAAGGTAGGTGTGCTGTTGTCTACAGCTTTGCTTATTAACTTCTTTACAAATGGTAGAATACAACATACAATCAGAGCTAAAAGAACTAGAATTATTAGTACAGTTACCCCTATTTGGGCGAGCACTTTTTTCCACCCACTCATCCAGCTAAAA